TCCCCATCTCAGCAGCCTTATGCTACCTTCTCCAGTGGCTGGTGGGGAACCCAGGTCCTCTCACCATACTGGGCTCACCAGACTCCTTGCAGTTTCCTCCCTGGACTTCTTCCCACTATTCACTTTTTTTCAGGCCTTCTTTGTAGCCCCTTTCCAGGCTCTTCTAGTGAGCTATGCCTCCTAGGGCTTCTCCCCAGTTCCTGCCCTGGGCCATGTTCCCAATTCATCACAACCCTCATGTCAAGGCAAGCAGGCCTACTGCCTGGGCCCCTGCAAGTCCCATCCCTCTCACACTCCAAGGTCACACTCCTGCTCTTGGCTGCCTGGGTGAGCTGCTTCTCCCCCTTTATCTCCTAGCCCCACACAAGCCATCTGCCCTGCAGGATACGCCAGCCCTGGCTAGCTCTACCACAGCCTTCCCTATGCTATCTCTTATATCACCTTCCTGTTCCTCTGCCCTTGACTTCCAGCTGAGGGATCAAGTTCTTCTCTCACCTCCTGCTCCTTATTTTATGAAGGCCTACCCCCTTCCCAGCTGGGTTTGATCACCAATTATGCCTAACACCGGACCAGGTGCCATCCGGCTTAATTAGGCTCTGGCTTCTGCTAACCCCTGGCTGACCAGGGTGGGGTTTGTACACCCCATCACATTCCCCTTCACTAGATTTTTTTTCTCCTTCACTCCCACAAGCTCAATAAAGCCAGAGTCAATTCTTTAAATCTAGGATGCTCCACAGGGTTTCACACCAGCAGGGTTCCCCCAGCCCGAAGCCTGGTATCTGATAACCCCGAGCTCACAAACAGGTACAGCTGGGTGGCTAGAATGAGGTGGATCCAAACTTCTGCCTAAACCGTTCACCCAGCTCTCACAGATTTGCCTGGCCTCCCTGTCCTATTAAAGTTATCATTAAGGTGACTTTATTTTTTCTTTAGCTCTTAGGGCTCTCAGCCACACTGCCCTGAAAGGAGGCTGTAATATGACCCAAGGCAGGCTCTGGAGACAGGATAAATAGATCACGCCATGCTCAAACACTCCGCATTTCATCTCCCACCCGGATCAGCTTTCACCTCCAGAACTCCAAGGAGAACTTTTGACTCCCTCCTGCCCCACAGGAGAACATGAATGGAAAAGCTGTCCCAGGGCAAATTCCTCACACCAGTCTGCCATTGCACCAGAATAGTTATCTAGCAAGCACCATGCCACTGCCCATCTTAGGGTGACCAGATGTCCCGATTTTATAGGGACAGTCCTGATTTTTGGGTCTTTTTCTTATATAGGCTCCTATTACCACCACCACCACCACCACCATCCCCTGATTTTTCACACTTGCTGTCTGGTCACCCGACATCCAGTCCTGCACCCTGGTGCATCATTGCGAATCAGAACTGGTCCAGGCAAATCTAGCCCTCTCTGCAGTGTCCTTTATTTGATATCCCAGCAAAGAGCAAGAATCACTGTGCAAATTTCTTCTCCCTCCACTCCCTCCAGGTGAATAGAAGATCATTTGGAACAACTAACATGCCAGCCAATACAAATGTGGAGAGAATCAATATTTCATTATTAATGCAACATGGATAGATAAATCCTGCAACCTCAAAAGAACTCTATCCCATTTTTTTCATCTCCTTCTTTATTTGTATTGGGCCAGGCCCCCCATCGTGCTAGGCGCTGTACAAACACAGAACAAAAAGACAGCCCCAGACCCAAAGAGCGTACTTGCCTGATCTCTAGCTCCCATCTTTAGCGGCATCGTGCAGTGGTTTGGATGCTGATTAAGTTCTACTACACTTTATAGCAGGGCCCTGATCCTCAGAGGTATTTAGGTGCCTAACTCCCATTGATTTCAGATGCCGAGCTGGCGTAAACTGAGACAAGTCAATCGATTTCATTGGAGCTGCACTGACTCACCCCAGCTGAGGATCTGGTCCTGTTTTCCCCCTCAGAGCTTTGCTAAAAAGAAAAGGAAAGAAAGAGAAACCCTCCTAGCAATGATACTAACCAGGAGTCCATCTCTTCCTTCCCCATTCCCTGTCTCCTCTTCATCTGCGCTGGGTGATATGGTTTATCTGAGCAGCACTTAATGTAAACTCTGTCAGCCCAGACCAAGATTAATTCTCTGGAGTTTGGCAGCAAAGAGATTAAACAACAAGGGGGGAAAAAAATACACATCTGAAATTGAAAAATTCTTCAGGGCTAATTTACAACCAGATTCCTCTTCTCCTCCCACACTTTCAAATGCTAACACAGGAGAGGGGAGGAAAGACTCTTTTGATTGTACCCCCCAGTGAAATGGGAAAGCAGGGTAATGACCAGAACTTACACAGCACCAGGCTGCTGGTTTCACAGGCAAGATGAAGTGTGGAAAATTCCACTTCTCCCCAATGCACAAATCCTGTCAATGGTCCCACAGGGGCCATGGAGTCTCTCAGTATAATACGTTCACCAGCTTGGAGCTCTCAGCTTGGTTTGAAGGATTGGAGTCCCCACCCCCAATTTAAAGAAATATTCAGATTGCACCGTCTGATTAGTAATAAATCCATCAGGCCCAGCTTGGTTTGAAGGATTGGAGTCCCCACCCCCAATTTAAAGAAATATTCAGATTGCACCGTCTGATTAGTAATAAATCCATCAGGCCCACTTGCCCCCAGTAAAGGAATGTATAAAGCACGAAGGAACATATGGTCCATCTAATGGCTCGATTGGCCGGCTCCCCTGGCCTTGTCATTTTGAATAGACAATGCTCTGTGCAGCCTGGGAGTTCAGTGTTTCAATCACTGGCACTGGTGTAAACCTGGACTAGCTCTGCTGCCGTCAGTGGAGTTACTTCAGATCTGTATTGATAAAACCTCAAGCAGAATCCAGCCCCCTCTCCATAACCAGGAACGATTCCATTGGGCCTTCGCAGAGGCTGGTTTGAGGGATACAGAGAGGGGAGATTACTGGCTTTATTTAGGGTACAAATTGGGCCAAAACGCAAACGCCATATCTGAGCACCCTCCAACTCTGAGCAATTGGGAATCCAGATAGAGTTGCCACCTCTGAGAGACTAAAAAAAACCAGCCACTGTCTCCCCACCCCGCTACCACCAGCCTGACCCTCCTCTTCCCCTCCCAGGCACAGCCCCCGACAACCAGCCTGACCCTCCTCTTCCCCTCCCAGGCACCCCCCCAACCAGCCTGACCCTCCTGCACACACACCCCCCCAACCAGCCTGACCCTCCTCTTCCCCTCCCAGGCACGCCCCCCCAACCAGCCTGACCCTCCTCTTCCCCTCCCAGGCACCCCCCACCATGAGCTGGGGAGTCAGGCTGCTGAACCCCTACACCATCCCTCCCCAACCCCAGTCCCCACTCCGTACCCCTCCCCTCTAGTGAGCTTCGGGTCCATCTTACTTTCCAGTGCCATGAGGAGCAGGAGCCTCAGCCCCCATACTGGCATGCTGAGGGCCCAGCACATGGAGCAGCACCCGGGTGCCATGCCAGCAGCTCTCCCAGGTGCCCGGGGACCTGTGCGCTGTAGTGGAAGCAGCCACTGGCACCCCCGTACATGCACGCAGCAGTTGTTGCTAGTTGCAGCTTGCCAGGGTATTTTCACTAGTGCGAAGTGAAGAAAACCCCAGCACGTTGCAACCGTCAACAGGAGAAAAACCAGCCAAGTTGGTTTAAAACCACCCAGTTGGCAATCCTAGGCCCAATCCTGGTTGGTGGCCCCTGAGATTGGGGGCCCTGTGCAAGCACACAAAGTGCACACTGGCTCATCCAGGCTGGACCCAGAGTCAGGATTCCCGACTCT